GCCTGGCGCCTGCACCAGCCGCCCGCTCCACACCGCAGACCGAGGGCTCCCGGGGAGCGCTTTGCTGCTCGGCGCGATGCCGTACGCGATGCCCGGACACGCTGCCCCAAGGCGCTGCCCCTGCGCAAGCCCCCGGCCCCCAGGCCGTCCGGCGAGCAGCAGGGTCAGGGCTCAGAACATTTCACACCTCGGCCCCGGAGACGTCCGAGCTGCTGAGGTGCTGCTATTTTAACACTCCAGTGGAGTCTCCTTCTCTGGAGACATTCCAGACCCCCCTGGACAAGGTCCTCTACAGCCTACTGTAGGTGACCCTGCTTGGGCAGGGGGTTGGACTGGGTGACCCACAGAGGTCCCTTCCAACCCCGACCATTCTGTGATTCTGTGAAACCTGGAGAGCTGTTTTTGGATCAGGGGTGAATGTGAAACGGTTCCAAGTACTTTTTTGCTCTAGAATAGTTTTAATGAATAGGTAAGAGTAACACCACAGCTCGTGCCCATTCGAGACAGGGGGTGGATTTACAAGGCCTGGCGCGGGGTCTCCTGCGACAACGCCTTCAGCACAGCTTACAGGGGTCGAGAGGCTGGAACGCGGTCTCCTAACAGGGGCTGGGGTGAAGGATGAGCACAGAGAACTTCAACACAACAGGGAAGCAGCAGTTTAATAAATAATCCATCAGAGGGAGAGATCAGCCAGTTCTGAACACAACCCAAACTGAAATAAATACATTTCATCATTAGCATAAAAAAAGAGAGATAGAGAAATGCACGCAATAGTAAACTTCAAGAGAGCAGAGGTACTGTTGTTCTTCAGGGAACGCGGGCTTGCCACATGCCCACACTTTTTAAAGAGAATCAAAGATGTTTGCAGCCACTCAAGTGCAGAGAAAAGAGTAAAAACCAGTGAAGTCAAAAAGTACTGCATTGCAAAATTAATGACAAAAGAGAAAGCAATGGTTTAACGCAGATATTTTTTTAAGCGACAAGATCCGTTTAAACTCACTTGAACTCTGCCATTAATACTGGAACTGCAGAAGAAAGGCAACTAAGCCACTTTTTGCCTTATGTTTGGGGCATTGCTGTTACTGACCGGAATGACAGGTCACTGCAGACAAATTGTGGGAGTACTGATGTTACACGGGCAGGCTCAGGCACTACGCAGCAGATCAAGGGGATTTTAAGAAAAGGCTCTTTTTAAAAAAGTTACATTTTCATACAAAGTAAGAAAAATTGGCAAAACTAGCTGAATGCCCCATACAGATTTTCCAGTCTCCACGTGGGACGCTGCAGAATCACCAGCCCTTCAGAATGAGCCATTCTTCATTCAGGTCCGGTAATTTCAGCTCCGTCACCGCTTGGCCTGAGTCCTCCTCTGTCACTCAAGGGCAGGTGGCAGCGGGTCCCAGCCCAGTGCTGACGGGGAGCGAGCTACCCGGGGCCGAGGCCCCACCAAACCAGGTGAGAGAACTCCGAAACCCTGGAAGGGAACCCTGCCTGCTCCCAGCACCGAGAACCCACGGGGAGCCCCGTTCCCAGAGCCGGTCCCCATGCCGCGGGTGCCAGGCTCGGGGCTACACCGCGTCCCGGGGCCACGAGGCCCCGTGCAAGCGCAGCGCTGGACTGGTGTACGGCAGTACCCTGCGGCATCGCCGGGCCCCGAGCTCCGGGGCTGAAGTGACCGAGATGCTCCCCGTCCACTGCTCGCGAGCCAGGGGACGCCGGCATCGCTGGAAATCCGGGTGTCGCGTCGTGACGGACAGGGACTGAGGAGGGAAGCTCGCCCGGACAGTTCTGCTGCCTGAAGGGGAGGAGAGCTGAGACACCGCAGGCAGCAGCGGCGGGGGGGGGACGGGGGAGAACACATCGGTTTCAATAAACTATTCAATAAAGGAAAGGACTTTTAAAAATATATCTCTATATTTCTATCATATAAATTACACTCCTCGTTTTTGCAACGTTCCACTATATTCTACCCGTGAAGCTCCGAGCCCCTCAGTGTGAATGAGGTAACAATTCGGTGTTTCACTTCATTCCTGTGTGAGCGACAAACCTACTCCAGTTCCTTTTAATACAGTGTCAATAAATTAATCGCCAGGTGTACTTGGTAAAGCTCCAGTCTAAAAAAGGCATTTTTGTGAGCAATACAGAGTTGGGATTGCTGCCTGGAAGTTTAAGTGATGGGATTTGCTTCAGGACAGAAGTTTGCTGTGCACGCACGGTACAGACCATTCCGATAAGGTTTGGGAATTTGGAGCATCACCGCAGTGAGCCTGGGAAAACTGGAGTCACCACAGGTCACCACGACCTTCTGCAAGCTCTGTTCTCCAGTGCTGCAAACCACACCAGCAAGCCCTCAGTGTCCGAGGTGGCTGCCCTCTGCACGGACAATAACCCACTCACAGTTCTGATTACGGGATCTGGGTACCAGCCTGGATTAATGCGAAACAAACAGAATTATTTCACTTAAATGTCCACCTCCAATAACTAACTGGTCCAGAAAACTGGTAAACAGACATTAAATTATTAGTTCAGCCCAGTCTAGGCAGGCAGTGGCTCTGAGCTGTTAATATCTGACAGGCGTTTAAGAGACCTCCACAGAACCGCAGCTCTCGGTCTGTCCAAGGCCAACATTCACCAGCCCCCCCTGAAAGCTCACGAAGGGGTCAGATGCTGAACAGACCCGAGCTCAGGTCCCCCCGCACCCCGGAGCGGGGCCAGCTGTCTGGCCGGGCAGAGCAGGGGACGGGCACTGCTCTCCCTGCCCGGGCCGGTGCTGGGCCAGGGACTGAGCTCTCCAGGGTCGCCCCACGGGTGCTCTCCATGAAACCCAGAGGCAAATGGCATTTGCAGCCACTGCTGCACAGGCACAGCGTCGGCCACGACTGCCTGTTTGCAAAGACCCAAAGCACTAAGTGACATTGCTCCCTCCCCTTGGGCCTTTCTCCCCCACGTTACCTGCCCCAAGCCTACAGAGAAGGGATCCCAGACAGGGAACGCGAGCTGCTGCACACACCCTGCTCTGAGACAGGACTATTTTTGGCCACAGTATCCTCAATTCCCTTAACAACTGATTTCTGAAGTGTTCCCAGTTTGGTCTTCACTTCCCCAGTGACCGCTCAGTGCCAGTACTTCTGACCTGACTGGGATGAGAACAATTGTTTCCTGCCCTCTGCCACATCTCTGC